CGGCTGGGTTAGCGACAGAAGCTCGGAGGGCGGCGGGAGCCCCGGCGCCACCCTCGCCTGGCCGGCCGGCGGGGCCGACCTGCGGAGCAGCGCAGACAAGGACTCTCGGCAAGGTTAAGGCCGTTGTTGATGTCTCGTGTGACCCCCTCCGTCCTCCCCCACCCCCGACCCCGCAGGTTTTGGTATGAACAGGATTCGGATTCACGTCTTGCCAACGAATCGGGGGAGGATCACCCCAGTGCCCAGATCGCAGGAGCCCCTTTCTTGTTCCTTCGCTCACCGCCCATGCTCCCAACCGCGCCTGGAGGGGCAGGAGTTTTGCATTAAGCACATTCTTGAAGACAAGAATGCACCCTTCAAACAATGTAGCTACATCTCCACCAAGAATGGCAAACGGTGTCCCAGCGCTGCCCCCAAGCCCGAGAAGAAAGATGGGTATGTGTAGATAGATGCGTGCGTGCGTTGGTGCCCTGTCTTTGCAGGGCTGGGACTTGAACCCAAGGCCTCGTGTGCGCCAAACCCCCGGAAGCCCAAACCCTCCTGCCTTTAGTTTTTTTTTTTTCTTTCTAATTACGCGTTGAAGCATTTATTTCCAGTTCGTAGTGTGTTGTGTGTGGGGTCGTGCACTCGTCAAGGCACATGTGTGGGGGGATCAGAGGGTAATTGGCTGGAGTCGGTTCTACCTCGTGGGTACCGAGATAGAAGGTCGTTAGGCTTGACTCGCAGAGCCATGGGGCCGGCTCCTCTGTCGTTTTGCTTTTTTTTTTTTTTTTGAGACAGTATCTCTCTGTGCCTTGAACTCCCAGTGTGGACCGGGCTGGCTTGGAACACTTTTGGCAATCTTTGACAGTTTTTTTTTTTTTTTTTTTTTTTAATATGTATGGGTGTTTTGCCTGCATGTATGTTTGTGTGCCACGTTCATGCTTGACGCCAGCAGAGGTCCGACGTAGGCATTGGATCCCCTGGACCTGGAATTATAGATGGTGGTTAGGAATCAAACCCGGATCCTCTAGGAAGAGCAGCCATTTGCTCTTAACGATGAGCCTTCTCTCCAGCTCCATCTTGGCAGCCTTTTGGCCTTGAGAGTCCTGGGATTATAGATGTGGACCACGTCCTGCTTTTTTTTTTTTTTTTAAAGACATGATCAATGTACATAGCCCTGGCTGCCCTGGAATTCATTATGTAGACCAGGCTGTCCTCGAACATACAGGGATCTACCTCCTGAGTGTTGGGGTGCACCAGCATGCCTGTCCACTGCCTTCAGTTTTAAAATGAAAGAGGAACTTAATATGTAGGCTTGGTCATATCTGTGAACGATTAAGGATATATTCTTTGGGAGGGGGATCCAAACATGAAAAGATTAGAACTGAAGCTGGGAGGTGGTGGCCCACGCCTTTAATCTCGGCACTGGGAGGGAGGCCGAGGTAGGTGGATCTGAGTTCCAGGACAGCCAGGGCTACACAGAGAAACCTGTCTGGAAACACCTCTCCCGGTGATGAGAATTGGAGGGACACCTGAGGCAGGGTCATTTAGTTAATTGCTTGCTTGTGAAATTAAGTGGCTTTTTTTTTTTTTGAGACAGGTTCTGATTGTGGTCCAGACTAATTTGGAACTCCTAATTCTCCTGCCTCAGGGATTACTGTCTGCACCATACTCAGCTTTAAATTTTTTATTTTTTTAACGTTTATGATGTGGATACACGGGCCACCCCACACACACAGGACAACTCCCGGAGTTGGTTCTCCTCCGCCATGTGGGGATGGAACTCAGGTGGTCTGGCTAGCAGGAGGGGTGCATTTGTTTGCTGAGTCATGGAACTGGCCTTCTAAGTTAATTCTTAATGCTGGAGTGCTGACTCACTTGCCCAGCCTCGTTCCTTGCTAAATAATAGGCACAATATGTATACGTGTGTGTTTGGAAGGGTCTTCTTAGCTTTTTCATGTATGTACTTACCCGTGCAGGAATGTGGTTTTACTAGATAATTTGTGTACATCTTTCAATTTTAAAATTGAACCATACCTATCTGCGGTGGTAGTAAAATTTGTCCAGAATTAGTTTTGAAAAATAAAAGCATCTCTCTGATTTTCTGTGAGCTGCTGTTAACATTTTTATGGTTAGAATGTTCTGTTTGAGGACTAGAACACTGGTTAAGCTACTTGCATTTCCCTTTATTAACAGCTGTGTGGGCTGGGGAAGTAGAGTGGTGTTAGAGCCCTTCCATGCTTGGGGCTCTGGGTTTGACCCAGAGCAGCACACACACCACACAAAAGAAAAAAGCCCAAGTGGGTTGACTTGGGGGCAGTTAAGTTTCTGATTTGAATTCCTTTTTCTTTTCTTTTTTTGTGACAGCATCTCATTATGTAGCCCAGGCTGTCCTGTAACTCACTCTGTAGACCAGGCTGACCTCGAACTTGGGGATTCACCTGCATCTGCCTCCTGAGTGCTGGGATTAAATGCGTGCGCCACCACACCTGGCCTTCACACTGGTCTTCAAGGTGTGAACATAATCATTTGAAATTTCCTAAAGACAAAAAAAATTAATTGGTGACTGAACATTGCTGACTCTTTTCAACAGAGAACCTATTAAATATTACCGTTTGTCTCCTTAGGGTGTCTTTCTGTGCCGAACATGCGCGAAGGAATGCCCTAGCACTTCATGCTCAAATGAAGAGGAACAACCCAGGCCCTGTGGGTGAAACCCTCTTGTGTCAGCTGAGCTCATATGCTAAGCCAGAGCTGGGCTCGCAGACCCCCGAGAGCAGTCGGAGTGAAGCTAGCCGGATCCTGGGTAAGGACGTCAGGGCCTTCTCTGCCGGGGTCACAAGGGAAGAGGCTGCCAATGAACTAGGCATAGTGCAACGCTTTGTGCATTTGTGGTTGTTACTGGGGATTTGGTGAGAAACCAGGGCTGCTGTTGCTAGTTGTTAGCTGTTTTGCTTTGGAGTTTGTTTAGCTATATTCTCCCAAACTGGTGACCTTTCCTTCTTTAAAAAGTTAAAAACTTTGAATCGTAAGTTTCGGGTTGGTCTCGTAAGTACCGTAGCTTCCTGTGTGGAGTTACAGAGGTGGGAGTCTTAATGGCTGCTCTCCTTCCTTGCCCCAGATGAAGACAGCTGGAGTGATGGGGACCAGGAACCCATCACTGTGGATCAGACATGGAGAGGTGACCCTGACAGTGAAGCTGATAGCATAGACAGTGACCAAGAAGACCCCCTGAAGTAAGTTGTAACTCCACCTAAGGCTCTTACGTGCTCTCTCTAGTTAGTACATAAAATGTAGTAGGCGTGGGGTTGATACACAGAGGTGGGTTAAGTGTCACGGTTCAACACCATCTTGCTCCAAGGCAAGATTTCTTGATTCTTCTGTGGAAGTCTTATGACTTGAACTGAGTTATGCCCAGGAGATGCTAGGGAAGAAAGCAGATTTCTTGACGTAGGAGTGGAAAAAGGAGACAGAAAGCACAGGCTGGCTAGAGAAGAGAAAATGGATTTAAATAGATACTTGTCCTAAATCTCAGAAATAATGAGCTAATTATACTTGGACAGTTGCTGCAAAATTCTATGGTTCTGACTTTTTAAATGGGAAATAAAAGTGTTCAGTAGTTTGTTTTGGTTTTATGTCTAATGAAAGGAAAACTGATTTAGAAATCCAAAATTTAATTATATGTTAAGGTCTTCTGTAACCCCTGGTCATCTTAAGAATTGAGAAATAGCCGGGCCAAGCTTTATTCCCAGCACTTGGGAGGCAGAGCCAGGTGGATCTCTGAGTTCAAGGCCAGCCTAGTCTACAGAGTCAGATCCAGGACAGACACCAAAACTACATGGAGAAACCCTGTCTGGAACCCCCCCCCCCAAAAAAAAAAAGAAAGAAAGAAAGAAAGAAAAAAGAGTTGTAGAACTATCAAAACATTGCCCCTCTTAATTTTTTGAGGCAGGTTCTCATGTATCTCTGACTGGCTCAGTCTTTGTTTCCTCTAGTACTAGTTTTTTGATCATCTTAGCTGTTAGACGTTTGTCTTCTCTTACATATTACAGAAGAGTGCATCTATATTATATATGTTGGCTTTCTGAGACAGTTTCTCTGTGTAGCCCTGGCTGCTCTGGAACTCAGATCCCCTGCCTCTGCCTCCTCAGTCCTGGGATTAAGGCCGTGGGCCACAGCTGCTGGGCGGGTATTTGTAGTGTTGATTACACTGAATACACTGCAGTGACTAGTTTTTTCTCACTATGCTTATAGAGATGGGATTTTTCTTCAATGTAACCATTAAATTGCTTTGTGAAACATAATCTTAAAAATTTCATTTTTAAAGCTTGTTTATAACATTTAAGCCAAAGCATAATGGTTAAGTCTTGCTTCCTGTATAAGTTCTGACTTCCATACTGTTGTTTATATTTTCTGCTGGTAGAGGGAAAATAATTTCAAATTATTTGTTTTTAGTTTTGGGTTTTTGAGGCAGAGTCTTCCTAATCAGTGCTGATTGACCTCAGACTTAAGCATTCCTTCTGCCTGAGCCTCCTGAGTTCTGAGATGACAGACATGCATTACCATACCTGGTTTAATTTCATTTTAATAAACTTGTTATTAGGGTAGGAGCTGTATCCCTTGAACCGTAGTTAGTCTTTGAAGGCCAAAAAGTCTCTGTATAAGATTGTATTTAAAGGAAAATTAGAAGTCATATGGTCATTTGATATTTTTGTGAGTATTTGTCTGAATGTGTGTCTGTGCACTCAGAGGCCCAAAGAGGGTGCTGGAGCTCCTGAACTGGAGCAAGGGTTGTCAGTTGTGAGTGCTGGGAATCAGCCCGAGGCCTCTGCTCTTGACTGTGAATCATCTTTTTTGTATTTTGTAATTAAAATCCTGAGTTGTTCAGACCAGGGGGTCTCTGTTAAATCCCTGTGTAAAGTAGAATCTAGATTAGTTAGCATGGCTTTCATGCTGCACATCTTTATTTATTTTAAATATGTAAATAATGAGATATCTCCCCTCCCACCCCACTCTGAGAGATAACACACTGGGATCCTTTTGTGGAGAGACTACCCTCTCTTGTGTTTCCTGGTCCCAGCATCCCTGTGGGTGTTCACAGTCACTTCTGACTCCAGCTCCAGGGTACCTGACAGCTTCATCTGCACACATGCAGGTCCCAAACGCACATGGGGAAAAGACTGGATTGTGGTGTTTGTTGGTTTATTTTGTTTTTAGTGCTGAAGATGGAACTAAGGACCTTACACGTGCTAAGTACTCTACTACTGAGCAATATTGTACCTACAAGCTCTTTTTATTTTTTAATGTCTTAGTAAAACACTGTAAAAATATTGCTATTTAATAAGATGTGTCAGCACTGGCTTTGTTAAATACAAACTGAGTCTATTTTCAGACTTCTACTGTTTGGTAGTTTTGTGGTTTTTTTTTGAGATAGGGTTTCTTATCTAGGTTGACCTTGAATCTGCTACATAGTCAGGCTTTGAACTGGTCTCTGCCTGCACCTCCTGAGTGCTGGGATTACAGGCATGCATCCCCAAGCTGGTCGTTGCTGCTGCTTTAATGCTTTGCTGAATGTGTTGTTTTATTCCAGACATGCTGGTGTCTACACAGCCGAGGAAGTGGCTCTTATTATGAGAGAGAAGCTAATTCGTTTGCAGTCTCTGTACATCGATCAGTTTAAACGGCTCCAGCACTTACTCAAAGAGAAGAAGCGCCGGTACTTACACAGTCGGAAAGTGGAACATGAAGCTCTAGGCAAGTGTGATGTGCTTGAGTCTGCCTCATACAGCCAGTGAGTCCCTGTGTGCTTACAAGTCACACCTGGCTTTTCAGTGGTGACTGTGGTTAAGTATTCTAGTGCTTGAGAGGCTGAGGGTGGGGTTTGCTGTGAGTCCTAGACAAGCTAGACTGACGTCCTGTTTGAAAATTTGATTTTTGTGCCTCGTAGGTAGCAGTCTCCTGACCGGCCCAGAGGGACTTTTAGCCAAAGAAAGAGAGAACTTAAAGCGACTGAAATGCCTCAGGCGATACCGCCAGCGCTATGGCGTCGAGGCCTTGCTCCACAGGCAGCTGAAGGAGCGCAGGATGCTGGCCACAGAAGGGGCTGCTCAGCAGGTATTTGCTCTGTCACTCGGGTGCACACATTCTCTGTAGTGATGGGGTCGTCATGAGAACACTCATACACCTAGAATTAGAGAAAGGTAGCTGGGCACGCCTTTAATCCCAGCACCGCGGAGGCGGAGGCAGAGGCAGGCAGATCTGAGTTCAAAGCCAGCCTGGTCTACGGAGCTAGTTCCAGGATGACCAGTGCTGTTACACAGAGAATTCCTGTCTTGAAAAACCAAAACCAACCCCTTCCCCTCCCCTAAAATACATAAAAATAAAGGTTAAAAAACATTGATAGAATAGTAGCAGTTAAATATCAAAAAAGTAAGGTTGACAGAGTAATACATAATGGTTCTTCTTGTTGTATTTGTTGAAGCCTCACATAGGTTTATGTTCGTTTGTGTGGCTGTGAAAAAGTGGCCGAAGTCAACAACCTAAGGGAGGCAGGGCTGATTGTGGCTCAGCTTTAGAGGTTTCCGTCCGTCATGGCTGAGAACATGGCAGAGCAGAGCAGTTGGCCTTTGGGTGGCTAAGAACAGAGCTGGATTTTGGGTGGCTAGCTTCTTTTAGCCCTATTTTACTTCATCTGGGCTTAGTCTGTGCGGTAGTGCGGACCACAATCCGGGCCCTTCCTCCTCAGTCCTCTGACACTCGAAGAGATCCCAGAAGGGCTTCGCCAGTCTACGTGGTCCTCAGTCCCATCAGATGGACAGTTGGGATGAACCATTAGGGAGCCAAGTTTTAAAACACAAAACAGATTTTGTTGGCTGGGCTTGGTGCAGGTCTGATCACAGCAGCTGTGGCAGCTGAGGCAGGCGGGTCATAAGCCAGGGCCTTTTTACTTCATTTGCCTAGCTCAGTACCACCACCAAAAAAAGGTTTGTTCTTAAAAGATAAATTCGTTTCACTGGGGATTTGATTTAGCTTGGTGTTAGAGCATATGCTTGTGATTCTGGGTGTATTCCCTAGCATCGCTAAGAATTGAGTTACGGTCCTATAATGTAGCCCCTGGTTGGCCTGGAACATGCCGTGTAGACCAGACTGGCTCAAGATATGCTGCTGCCCCTGCTGAGATTGAGACATAGACCACCATGCCTGGCTAAAAACACCACTGTTTATTTAGGATGCAGATTTATTCTTCCTTATCTGTGAGGGATAGTTTGCGGGCCCCTGGCAGAGCCTAAAACTGGAGGTATCAAATGCATGTGTGCCATATTCTTCCTCTGTGTACCTGTGAAACTTATAATTAATTCATAACAACAAAATAGGGCAATTATGACAATATAAAGGTAGTATAAGCTACTTACAACTTTGAAATTATTTCTATAATTTTGTATTTAATATTTTCAGACCTAGGTTGACTATAGGTTAAGGGACAGACTACTTTTTCATACTTTTACAATTGGAGAGGTGTGTTTATACATGAGGTTTCATTGTTACAATATTGGTGGGTTGGGGGGGGGGCGGGCGTGTTTCTGAGACAAGTTTCTCTGTGTAGCCCTGGCTGTCCTAGAACTCACTCTGTAGACCAGGCTGGCCTCGAACTCACAGTCAAACTCCACCTGGCTCTGCCTCCCGAGTGCTGTGAATAAAGGCGTGCGCCACCACCTTGTATGAACTGACTTTGCTTTATGACTGAATGATATTATAGTTGTGTGCATTTGTGTGTGTGTTCTCTCACTTTTAGGCTCACACCACTCGCTCCAGTCAGAGGTGCTTGGCCTTTGTGGATGACGTCCGTTGCTCGAATCAGTCTCTTCCAATGACCAGACACTGCCTTACCCGTATCTTTTCAGATTGCTCATTTCGGTTCCGATTTCCAGTTAAGACAGGCTGGGAATGATGTCGGTCAGTTGAGCTGAAGATTTTGTTTACTTTGGCCCTGAATCAAGGCCAGCAGTTTGCTGAAGCTGTTGGTTTCAAGCAGGTGCCTAAATAAAATGTCTTTCTATGGTCTGTTGGCCATTTCAGAAATTTAAAAATGGTATGGTCAATTCATTAGAAAGAAACATCTGACTGGATGTGATATCCAGCTCTATAATTGTAGCACTTAGCTAGCTAGAGGGGGCAGCTGGGCCAGAGGATTGGGAGTTTGTGGCCACCCTGGGCCACAGCAAAATCCTGTCTGGAGTGGGTGAAGGGGAGGGGGGGCTGAAGAAACAGTGAGTCATTGGTGACAGATGTGGGTGACTGCTAGTCTTAATGACATTCCAAGATTTCTGTATAATTCTTCTACATTATTGATTTAACTTTGTTCATTAAGTTATATGTTAAGCTGGGTAGTGGTGGCGTGTGCCTTTAGTCCCAGCACTCAGGAGGCAGAGCCAGGTGCATCTCTGTGAGTTTGAGGCCATATGTTAAATCTGTTACCAAGAAAGAAAGATTACCATGGGTTTTCTGCCCAGAACATTATCTATATTGGGAAATTCTATGCGGTAGTGTCCTTTTATATGGTTAGTGCCCTAACTTGTATGTTTTTAATTAACTCAAATTAGAAACTTTCAAATAATGGGCTATCCCCCCATTCTTTCTGATTTGTAAATTTAACCTGTTACATGAAACACTTTCTGGTGTAGAACTACATTCATTACTGATTGATGGGCTACAAAACTTGTGATGACCGTATGGGGGAGAGAGAGGAAGAGGATGAGAGAACCTGCTCTTGGTCTTGTTTATTTTTGTTTTTTCCTTCCCCTGTTCCATTATTGAAATATTTGAAGTGGAATTTTACATGAATGTCTGAATGGTTACAGGTGTACACTACCACCCTTGTTTAGAGTTACTGCTTTTAGTATGTAAAAGCTTATGCAAAGTAATGAGCTCTGAAGAGGAATGCTTCAAACATAAATTGGGCTAGGTAAAGGCCAGGAAGCTGCAGAGGCCTGTGATGGGTGGAGGTCGAAGGGGCTGTAAGTGGGGGATTGGCCTGTAGAGCACATGAGACTTTGAATGGAGAGAATGCTGGAGTGAGAAGATTTAATGGAGAGGGTGAGGGGTAGGGACGGGAATCAACCAAGACAAACCTATGAAAATACTTAAGGAAACCTGGTGCTTTGTAAGCTAATAAAAACAACCAACAGAACAGTACCTCTTAGCTGGGCATAGTGGTGCACACCTTTAATCCCAGTGCTCAGGAAGCAGAAGGCTGGCAGAGTTTGAGGCCAGACCAGTCTAGTGAGTGCCAGGGCTACGTAAAGAAAGCCTATGTCAACAAACAACCTTTTAAAAATTCACCTTAAAAGTTTTTTTTTTTTTTTTTTAAGCCGGGCGGTGGTGGCGTACGCCTTTAATCCCAGCACTCGGGAGGCAGAGCCAGGCGGATCTCTGTGAGTTCAAGGCCAGCCTGGTCTACAGAGCTAGTCCAGGGCAGGCTCCAAAGCTGCAGAGAGAAACCCTGTCTCGAAAAACCAAAAAAAAAAAAAGTTTTTTAAAATGAAGGAGGCATGCCTGCTCATGCCTGTAACCTCAGCACTTGAGAGGCAACGGTGGGAAAATCAGGAGGTAAAGTTTATGCTTGGCTACGTAGTGAGTTCTTGGGTTTGAAGCGATTGTGTCCTGTTTTTAGGAGCAATGTTTCTGCAGACTTAGTCTAAGCAGAAACAACATTGTGTCTTGGAAGAGGTTGGTAGGTGCTTCTGTATCAGCTGTTTTTGTTACCATGTGGGTTTTCTCTGTCAGTGTGTTTTCCTTGGGGTGTTGTTGCCGCTTAGCACTGCCGGAGGGGCTTAGTGTCTAGTTTAACTGACCAGAATCCTGGAAAAGAGATGGAGGATGAGCTATAAATTATCGGTAAGGCTCAAGTTACGTGTTACAAAATGATACTTATTTAGAGAACTAAAGGTTACTCATTGCGTTTGGCGTTCTATAAAAACGCCCTTCTGAGTGTGTGAGTGAGTGTGTGAGTGAGTGTGTGAGTGAGTGTGTGTGTGTTCGGCGCGGCACACTCTCCTCTGCTGTGCACCTCCAGTGGATTGGGTCTATTTCCTTAACTGTTTCTGCAGATATTTGCCAGGATACAAATCAGGTTCTCTTCAAATGCTGCCAGGGATCTGAAGAAGTACCCTGCAACAAACCAGTTCCTGTAAGCCTTTCTGAGGACCCCTGCTGTCCACTGCATTTCCAGTTGCCTCCTCAGATGTATAAGCCCGAGCAGGTACTGTCTGTGCCAGACGGTCTGGAAGCCGGCCCCATGGATCTGTACTTGAGTGCTGCCCAGCTTCAGCCCACTGAGAGTTTACCACTGGAGCTCAGTGATGTAAGTTAGAGAAGCTCTGCTCTGATTGGCCCTTGAAAGAAGGCCCTGTTTAGTAGTGGTGAGAACAGTTAGTGGTTTTCAGCTAAGAGAATGGGTAAAGCTTGTGACCTGATACAGATGTAGTTGGATATGTCTGTTACTGTATTTATTAGACACTTTGTGTCCTACCTTTCCTTTTCCCCAGACTTTTCTTGTTTTGAGGCAGGACCTCACTGTGTAGCCCGAGTTGAACCCGAACTCATGATCCTTTATGTCTGTCTCCTAAGTGTTGGTGTCAGAGGCGTGTGTACCACCCAGGCCTGGCTTCCTTTGTTACTTTGGGATGTAATTGGAAGTGTGTGATTCAGTGATTTTTTTTTTTTTAAGGTATTATTTATTTGCAGGCAGCTACCATTACTATCTGAGGACGTGTTTACTACCTCAAAAAGAAATAATACCTATCAACACTTTTTTTGGTTTTTGTTTTTGTTTTTCAAGACAGGGTTTCCCTGTGTAGCCTAGACCAGTCTGGCCTGGAACTTACAGAGAGCCTCCTACCTCTGCCTCCCTCTCAAGTGGTGGGATACTGCCTGGTTTAATACTCACGTTTTGAAATTTCCTTTCTGAGCCCTTACTCCTGGAATTGCCTGCCAGTTACAAGAGAACTTTTATCTTCATTTTCTCTTCTCTTTTCTTCCTCCTTTTTCTTGAGGCATTATTTCACCCTGACCTTAACCTACCCCTGTCTCAGCTTCTCAAGTGCGAGAATTATAGGTGTGTGCCACCTAAGTGTTCTTTTTGTTGATGGATTTGCCAGTTCTGGGCATTTCATATAAATTAGTGAATTTTGTGTCAAGGTTTTTGTTTTTTGTTTTTTGTTTTTTTTTTAATAACCCCTCTTAGGTTTTCAAAATAGGATTTCTCTGTGTTGCTCTCCCTGGCTGTCCTGGAACTGACTTCAGGCTAGCCTTGAACTCAGATCCTAGATCCTCCTGCTTCTTCCAAGTGCTGGAATTAAAGATGTGTGCCACCACTGACCTGCATGTCTATAGTTTTTTTGTGCTTAGCTTTTTTTTTTTTTTTTTTTTTTTTTTGGTTTTTCGAGACAGGGTTTCTCTGTGCAGCTTTGCGCCTTTCCTGGAGCTCACTTGGTAGTTTAGGCTGGCCTCGAACTCACAGAGATCCGCCTGGCTCTGCCTCCCGAGTGCTGGGATTAAAGGCGTGCGCCACCAACGCCCGGCTTCTTTGCTTCTTTTTTCTTTTTTTTTTCGGTGGGAGGATAGGTATGTCAGGGAGCAGAGTCTAACTATGTATCCCTTGACTGGCCTGAAACTTAGGTCTGCTGCTTCTACCTCCAAAGAGTGCCCAGATTAAAGCATGTGTCGCAATACTCTGCCAAATATAGTGATTTTAGAATTCACATTGTAGCTTGTATTAATATTTAAGACTTTTTATTTATTTTTGAGGTAGCGTCTCACCTTGTATCTCTGGAGGCAGAGGCGTGCAGATTTCTGAGGTTGAGGCTGGGCTGGGTCATGTTGTGAGACCTCAAAAAAACAAGCAGCTAGAGAGGTGCTCAGTGGTGACGAGCACTTGCACTGGGCAGTGGTGGGCACACCTTTAATCCCAGCACTGGGGAAGCAGAGGCAGATGGTCTCTCTGAGTTCGAGGACAGCCAGGGCTATTCCAGAGGGAAACTCTGTCTCCAAAAAAACAAACGAAAGGTACTTGCTGCACTTGGAGAGGACTTATGTTTTTGGTTCCAGGCATTCCCAGCATCCATATGGAGGTGTACAACACACACACACATACACACACACACACACACACACACACACACACACACACGTTAAAATAAAGCATTTTTTTTTTTTTTTTCTCTTTTTAAAGGCAAGGAGGGTTGCAGGTTGTTTTATGTAGCTCTGGCTGTCCTGGAATTTGCTGTATAGACCACACTAGCTTCATGCTCGGATCCTTACACCTCTGAGTGCTCAGATTAAAGACATGGGCCAACGTACCCAGCAGTAAAGCAGGTCTTTAAAAAACTTTATTTATTATGATGATGATGATGATGATGATGATGATGATGATGATGATGATTGGTTTTTCGAGACAGGCTTTCTCTGTGTAGCTTTGCGCCTTTCCTGAAACTCGCTTTGTAGACCAGTCTGGCCTCAAACTCACAGAGATCCACCTGCCTCTGCCTCCCGAGTGCTGGGACTAAAGGGGTGCGCTACCACTGCCTGGCCTAAAAACTCTTTTTAGGTGATCCTCTACTCACATTATTGCACAGCTCCTCCCCTCTGTTTTTTTGTTTTTGTTGTTGTTTTTAAGGCCTCAAGCATTTTAGGTAGGTCAGTGTTTGAACACTAAACTCCATCGCAAGCCTTATGTGCTTTTTGGTAAACCAGAGTGGTCAATAGAAAGTATGAAGCAGGGTCTCTCGCTAGTCCTCACTGGCCTCATCAAGAGATCTGCCTGCCTCTGCCTCCGAGTGCTCGGGTTAAAGATGTGTGCCACCATGCCTGGCCTCTGTGTGGTGTTTTTGTTGTTGCTTTGGTTTTTGTTTTCTCCCTGGTTTTTGTGATGAATATAAAACATGATTCTGTATTTGTCGTGGTAGTTTTTTTTTTTTTTTTTTTTTTTTTTTTTGAGACAGGGTTTCTCTGTGTAGCTTTGCGCCTTTCCTGGAGCTCACTTGGTAGCCCAGGCTGGCCTCGAACTCACAGGGATCCGCCTGGCTCTGCCTCCCGAGTGCTGGGATTAAAGGCGTGCGCCACCACCGCCCGGCTCTGTCGTGGTAGTTTTTAAACATTGCTGTTCTTGTAGGTAGGCAGTTTTCCTATTTATTTTACATGTATGTGTGTGTTTTGCCTGCATGTGTGTGCACCCTGTACATGTCTGGCATCAGAGGCCTGATGAGCTTACATTCCCTCAGGATTGACGTTAAATGTGAGCCATCATGTGGATGCTGGTAATCAAACCTGGGTCCTCTGCAATAGTAATAAGTGTTCCTCACCACGGAGCCTGCATGATTTTCTGTATTCACAGAGCTAAGGGATTTAGAATGAAATCTCTTGGGAGATACTTGATGGGGCAATTGATGTGTGATATAAAACTCTTCCCAAGAGAAACTGGCCTTGTGTTTTTAAAGCCTGTGTCTTCTCTGCTTCAGGGGATGGAGTTCCTGGGAAGGCTTGTGTTCTATAGAAAACTATGGCTTCGAGAGAGATGATACCTTTTGCCCTCAGTTTGGTGGCTTAGTTGGGATGCAGTCTATAAACCTTAGCTGTAAATTTGGACTGCTAATTTTAAGGGGGAAATGGAGTTACATTTTAAACACCTCCCTACACAACCCTTAGGAAGTGAAGCCTTTTGGAGTGCTTGTCCATGTTATAAATAAATCTTAGGCTTTTTTTCTTTTTCTACTGTGAACTAGAGACTCAATATGTCTAGTCTGCTCTTTCTAGTGAGTTAAAATGCTCAGGGATGAGGAAGCTATTGAGATCCTGCTTTCCCAAGGGAAGACCTGGGGATGGACTCGGGAAACAATGGAGTAGTGCCCAGGGCACCTCCTGCCTGAGTGTGTCTGCTCCTCCTGCCCACTCCTGCAGATGTTTTCTGGTTACCCAATGCACAAGAATCTTGACAGTCTCTGCATTCAGAGGAATTGCTCTCACAAATAGACTTTGTGTGTGTTGTGTACCTGTGGGTGGAAAGAGCTGCGAACAATCCCAAGCTTTTTAAAAAGATCGCAGGAAACAAAGTGTCTAGTCTCAGTGGTGTGAGAACATTGCTTTCTGTGGATAGCATAGATATTTCCAGTGTATCTGTGGTGGACATGAGTACAAGTGACTGTTTCTCTGTGTTTCTGCTTACACTGGGCAGTTTGTTTAAATTACTGCTGTTTTTTTAAAGACGTTTTAAAAGAATACTTTATGTATCCCAGGCTGGTCTTGAACTCTTGTAGAGATCTGCCTGCCTCTACCTACCTCCAGAGTGCAGGGACTAAAGGTATGTGCATCCATGCTTGGCTTTTTAAGATTTATTTATTTTATTTGTATGGATGTTTTGCCTGCATGTATGTGCACCATATCCATGCCTTGTTGCTCTAAGAGGTCAAAAGAGGTGTCAGATCTGGATCTGGAGTTACAGTTCTGTGTGGAGTTCCATGTGCATACTAGGTAGTGAGCCTGGGTTTTCTGGAAGAACAGCATGTGCTCTTAACTGCTGAGTTATTTCTCCAGCCCCCAGTTGAACTATGTTTGACTTTTTATTTATTTGTTTTAGATAAAGGTCTTGCTTTGTAGACCAAACTGGCTTCAGATTCACAGAGATCCACTTGCCTTTGCTTCCTGATTGCTGGTTTTAAAGTTGTGAGCCACCACGCCCAGCATTAGCTTTTAGACTTAAGTTTTTTTGTTTTCAAGATTTTATTATTTGTTTATATATGAGTGCTTTATCTGCATGTACAATTTTGTGCCAGAAGAGGGCATCAGATCCCACTAGAGATGGCTGTGAGCCACCATGTGGCTGCTGGGAGTTGAACTCAGGACCCTCTGCAAGAGCAGGCAGTGCTCTTAACCACTGAGCCATCTCTCCAGCCCCTAGAGTTTTAAGGGGAGTAGATAATTTGACTTTTTCCCCCCCTTAGTTATGGAAAGGTTATGATTTTTATTCCTGGTTGTTAGTTAGCACACTAAAAATAAAAACTGATTTTTTTATTAGTACATAACAGTTGTGTAAAATGATGGATTTCCTTGTGATGTCTTTGTTTTTGTTTTTTGGTTTGGTTTTTCGAGACAGGGTTTCTCCGTGTAGTTTTGGTGGCTGCCCTGGAACTCGCTCTATAGAACCAGGCTGGCCTTGAACTCACAGAGATCCATCTGGGATTAAAGGCGTGTGCCACCACTGCCCGGCCCTCGTGATGTCATTTACATGCTCGTAACATACTTTGATCCTCTTTACTTTTCCCTGTCACCTTTTCTTACTGTCCCTTCTCCTCTGCCCTCCCCTGCTTGCTCTTTAATATGGGACCTGTAAGTTCTTAGACGTAACTTTAGCATTGACTGAGCTTGTGCCAAGTGTCGTGGAACTTAGGTTGTCGTAGTACTTGAACCATTACGGTGACGTGGGCCCTAAATCAATGTTGGTTTCAGACAGGAGCCAAGAATGGTGTTTTTGATCTGCTGACCCTTCATTATTTCTGGGAATGGCTGATTCATATGGGAAAAGTATAGTCTAGAATATAATGTCTTTTTTTTTTGTTTGTTTGTTTTTTAAACAGAATACTTGAACTATGTTAAGTTTAAGACTCAGAGGCTTAGCTGGGCCAGGTGGCACAGGCCTGTAATCCCAGCTACTGGGAGGTGAAGCAGGAGCATCATAAGTTCAAGTCTTGCCTGGGCTGCAGGGTGAGTTCAAGGCTAGTGTGGTCAACTTAGTAAGACCCATCTCCAAGTAGAAATGAGGAAGAAGACTGGGAATGTAGCTCAGAATAGATCACTGGTCTTCTGTGCGAGAGGCCCTGACTCCAGTTCTACCAGAAGCTTATGCTAGGGAGAGGGATGAACCAAATATGTCTTGGCCATTCAGAGAAGTTTGAGTTTCTGTGGTTTGTCTTTCTCTCCTACCTTCCTTTCCTCTTTTAGTTGCTTGCTTTGTGAATGTTGGTCAGTCTTGTATTGCCATGTTTTCCACACAATTCCATGTTATTTTATCTCGATGCTGATTAACTGTAATTAGCCTCAGGGAATATGGGAGTTTTTTAAATTACATTTATTTTTGTAAGTGTGTGCCTGTGCGTGCGTGCATGCGTGTTGAGCCAGTTCTTTCCTCCTTCCACTGTGTGGGGGTGGGGAATGTATAAAGTCATCAGGTTGGTGGCAAGTGACTTTACTCACTGAACCGTCTTATTAGCCCTGTATTTTTTTCTTAAAAATATACTTTAACAAAAAAAATACATTATATACTTTAACAGTTATTGGTTTTGTATGTGTTTGTGCACATGCATGTGTATATGTACATTAGAACAGTTGTGGGAGTCTTTTCCATGTGGATTTTGCGGTTCAAACTCAGTTCATCACACGTAGCAAGTGTCTCTGCTCATTGAACCATCCTGCTGGCCCTGGAGGGTTTTCCTGGTGTTCACTATAATAGAACATGTGTGATAGAATTTATCACTGTAACCACTTTAAAGTTTACAGTTTGGTGGTGTTGACATTCAGTGTGTTGTGTAATCAGTACTAGTATCTTTTTCTCGAATTTTTCCATTGTTTGACCCAGATTCTATACCTTTTAAGCCGTCCACTCAGGGTAGTCACTGTTCTACTTTCTGTGATTTCTCCTAGGAATTTGCTTGTTGATTTATATTTTGTTATCAGCGGAGAGAAAGTTTTCAAACTTGTTGGTTCCTGTTGAATTGGTTTAGCATTCTAAGCAAGGAGAAAGGAGGGACCTGAGAGTTACTTTGAACTTTGCTGAAAATTGTGTCAATTTTAGCTCATGATTTCCTGACTGTTGCTGACGGTCTCTTCTCTTCTCTTTCCTAGGACTTGGACGTTGTGGGTGACGGCATGCCGTGCCCTCCATCGCCCCTGCTCTTTGATCCTTCGCTGACTCTTGAAGATCATTCCGTCAGAGACATTGCTGGAGGCCCAGTGGGTATCTTGACAGTTGAATCTCAGCTAGGTTCCCTCAGAGTGACCAGGCTAGGCGGAGGTTTCCCTGTGGGTTGACATGAGTTCCAGGGAGTAGGGTGTGTTCCCAAATACTACGTAAGAGTTCACTGGCAGATCTTCCTGTTGGGTTTCCATCGTGATAAAACGACATGACCAAAAGCAACTTGGAGAAAAGGATTTATTTCACCTTAGGCTTCAGGTCTGTTACTGCGGGAAGTCAAAGCAGGAACCGGAGGCAGGAACTGAGGCAGAGGCTGTGGGGGAGCACTGTTTGCTGGCCTGCTCAGCCAGTTTTCTTAGACCATCTAGGACTGGCCAGGAGTGGCGCTGCTCACAATGAGTTCAGCCCTCACCTCAGTCAAGAACACGCAGCCGGGCGGTGGTGGCGCACGCCTTTAATCCCAGCACTCGGGAGGCAGAGCCAGGCGGATCTCTATGAGTTCGAGGCCAGCCTGGACTACCAAGTGAGTTCCAGGAAAGGCGCAAAGCTACACAGAGAAACCCTGTCTCGAAAAACCAAAAAAAAAAAAAAAAAAAAAAAGAACACGCACTGCGGGCTTGTCCACAGACCAGCGTGGTGGCCGTCGTCTCTGTTGAGGGTCCCGTCCAGAGTGAATCTAGCCTGTGTGTATGGACATAGACCAGCTAGTGCAGACCTTAGGCCTACAGTCAAGGGGCGAAGTCCTGGGTTCCGTGCAGAGCACTGCCAAGCACAAACGACCTTCTTTAGAGTGCTTGTCTGGGCGAGTTTCCAGATTAGCTGCAGAGCTCCTCATGGTTTCTAATCCTCAAGAGTAGGGCGTACCTTTACCTGAGTGAGAGGGGGTAGGAAAATTGTCCCTTGGAAGGCAGAGTTCATCGTTCCGATTGTTGTTATCATAAAGACTGACGCAGCTTACTAATGGCTCTTACTGAAGACTAGCAGTTAGACTGTAGCTGTTGGTTTCAAGCAGAGGCCTAAAGAACTGTCTTCCCGTGGTTATCGGCTGTTCTGGAACCTCAGTAGAGAAGGACGATTCCATTGGGAAGAAACAGCTCCCTGTTCTCTCCTTTGACAGCGTCAGTCTCAGGGACGTCAGAATATTTTGGGGAAAGTGACTGTATTTCTTGGTGTCTTGTAGCTGCTATAAATGGACATTGATGAATCAGAGCTGTGCTTCAGAACCATTGGCCGGGTCTCTAACCATGGTGCCTTTGTTTCAATAGGGACAGATGCAGGTGGCTGGAGATGGATGCAGACCCCAGGGACCTCGGAATTTAGAGAAAGCCTGTGCATCATTCCCTCAGCGTGGATTGGCTGCTGCAAACGGAAACCCAGAACCTACTTCCATCAGTTGACAGTTCCTTCTGGACATTGTTTGACTTTGGTGGACTGAACTTTCCATTCTTCAAACAAGTATATCTCTGCTCATCTCTCACTAAACAGGGACAACCCAGACTACATTGTTTTTCTTCGGGGCTGTAGAGTACTGTAAGCAAACATAAACCAAATCTGTGAGGAACGGATCTTTAGTATTTAAAAGTTATGGAATTCTTTGCAAGGAAGAGAGTACCATAGTCCCTGCCTTTGGGATGGAATGAATAGTGGAGACGATGCCTGAGAAAGAGACGGTGTTTGTGATGTGATTTCCTGCTACTAGGCAGGGGCTGTGGTCAGGAATGGCTCAGGTGCTGGCTGTTCAGTGTCTGGCTATCTGTATCTAAAGGCCTGTGTTGAAGCCTTTCCTCAGCTCCGCATAACTGGGCAATATAAACCCCTTTTCCCAGTGACTGACTGAAAAGCAGCTCACAGGGCTGGGCTTTCCTTAATTATCCTTGCTTTTTATTTATGTAAATGTCTGGTGGATCCCCTGCCCCCTGTAAAATATAGTAAAGTTATTGTATATAGTTTCTATTAAATGGTAAAATGTTATGGAAATGTAAAGTAGTGTGAATTGAATTTGGGTTTTTTGTTTTTGTATTTGAGAGTGTCTATTTTCTGGGACTTCTAATGCCATCTGATGGGAAGAAGGAAATGGGAAAAGTCCCTAGTATTTCTGTCCTTGAACAGGCATTACCGGAGAAACGGCAGGAGAGAAATGGTACTTGTTACCTAGCTCACAGGCCAGATAGAACTGTTCCCTGGAGAGATAAGATTTAGTTCAGTGGTGGGCTCAAGACTACAGTGCGGTAGGGCCTTGGTGGGGCCATCAAAGGGCACAGTGGTGAGGTCTGTGTCACGCTGGTTCTAGGGGAACATTTGACAGATGCTTCTAAAGCCTGAATAACAGTTCACAGAAAACAAGGAATAAAGCCGTGAGGAAGAAGATGGAGCTTGTCCTTCAGTTATCCCCTACTGTATGAGCTGTACATTTCTCCCTGCGAGAAAATATACCGAGGTGAAGAGCATGCGCTCAGCCCTGGCTGTTTTCAGTTACTCTCCTGTTGCTTCTGACTAAGGCTTATGGTTCCAGAAGGAATAAGAGGCCATGGCCATGAGGCATGACAGCCGGGGGAGGTGTGGCAAGATCAGCAAGCTGAGAGCTCATGTCTATAACTACAAGCATGAAACAGAGCAAACGGAAGTGGTACAAGGCTTTTCTTCTCAAAGCCCAACTTCCCGCAGCAAGTCTGCATCCCCTAAAACTGCCACCAACTGGGCGTCAAGTGTCCAAAGGCCAGAGACTGGTGGACATTTTCCATGCATATAAATAACCACACCAGGTTTGGCCAATGGAAAGTCCAGAACCGCAGTACGGGAACAGAGATTGTTAGAAGGGAGTTGGTCCAAATAGCAGAGTGCATCTGTTGGATCTGAGCCAGGCCAAACTGCAATCCACCCCATCAGGACCATCAAAGGTAGGGAGACAGAAGCTTCACAGTGCTGCAGGATGAGAAGGCTGGATTTCATGGGAAATGCAGATGATGGCTAGTGGATAGTGGCTTCTGTTCACGCTACCAAACCCAACATTGCCTTTTTTGACTGAGAGATGGATATAAGTACTGAGGTCCTTTTGTGCCATATTGGGCTTTGCTAACATGCCTTCATTAGTATCCTCTTAGCCGCCCAAGGAATCGGGAAGTAAATGAAACTTAGTAAGTTCCTGAAGCCTACAGGGTTCCTAAGTCTCACCTTCCCAGAGATATACAAGCGGTAATTAATTTCTGGGGAGAGGAGACTCCAAAATGAGCAAACGCTGTAAACCAGTTCTCAGCAAGCTGTGTAGGGAACTCCAGGGATCGGCTTCCTCGGGTTGTCACCGTGTTGGGGAAATTTCAGTGATGTACCTATCTGTGAGTCATCCATGCTGTCAGTAAACAATAAACTCAACAGTCCACTGAACTCGGGTGGAATAATTTCTTGGGTGTGTCGTTGGTGTCCTGTCTGAGGTGGTAGATGTTCTAGTACCCTGTCTGTCCCATTTCCGTCACTACCCCCGCCAACACAGCATTTCTGCAGTGACTAGTACTGACCACAAGAGGGAGCTAGGGAGCCGGTGCTGAGTCCCAGCCAACCTCTAAGGTCGGGAGATGGGCTAGTCCAGGAAAAGTGGGAGAGAGGAGGCAGAGGTGGAAGGAAAGGTGGGAAGAGAGCAGAGTGGGAGGTTAAAGGAGCAGAAGCTGAGGTGAAGGATGCGCTGCAGAGGAGTGGGCACCACTCCATCAGCCCAGCAGGGACCCGAGAGCCTGCTCAGGGGAGGAAAGGAAGTGAAAAACAAGGCAGGGTCTCTCTGTGCAGCCCTGGCTGTCCTGGAACTCTCTCTGTGGACCAGGCTGGCCTCTGCCTCCCAAGTGCTGTCGCCACCACTGCCTGGCACATCCCTTCATTTCAAAGTCCTGTTTCATTGGACAGTGGTGGCGCACGCCTATCATCCCACTCAGGAGGCAGAGGCAGGCGCATCTCTGAGTTCAAGGCCAGCCTGGTCTAGAGTGAGTTCCAGGACAGGCTCCAAAGCTACACAGAGAAACCCTGTCTCAGAAACAAAAAAGAAAAAAAAAGTCCATGTCATTGTAACACAGATGATGTTTAGAAGCACTCAATGTCTGCAGAGTAGCTCAAGGCTTTCCATTGTAGCGTGCCGCTGGGTTATTGAACAGTTACTTCAGTGAGCTACCTCAGAGACAACTGAAGGAGAGAAAGGTGCTGTCCCCATATGCTGATCATTCCTGCTGTGCACAGACAAGAATTTGCTGTAATGCTCCGTGTGATTTATAACTTGTATTAGCATCATTTGATTCTTGCCATTACAAGAAAAGATCCACACACAAAATATACAAATCATCCTACAGTTTTAGGGATTCCCCCCCCTTCTTTTTTTTTTCAACAGGGTCTCACCATGTAACCCTGTTTGGCCTGGAACTCCCTATGTAGACCAGGCTGGCTTCAAAGTCAGAGATCTCCTGTCTCTGCCTCTTTAGTACTGGCATTAAAGACATCTGGCTTTTTTTGTTTTCTTTTAAAATAAGTTAGTTTGTTGGAATTAGAGAGATGGCCCAGCAGTTAAGAGCATAGGCTGCTTTTCCAGAGGACCCAGGTTTGATTCCTAGCACCCACATGGTAGCTCGCCCTGTAATTCTGGTTCCTAGGCATCCAACACCACACCGTCTTCTAGTCTCTGAGGGCACTAGGCATGCACAGGGTGCACAAATGTGTATACAGGCAAAATACTCATAACACATAAAATAAACAAAACTTTTAACAAAAAAGCTGAAGCCTTTAATCCCAGCACATGGGCGTCAGAGGCAGGTGGGTCTCTAGGTTTGAGACCAGCCTGGTCCAGCCTGGTCTAGCCTGGTCTAGAGGTTGAGTTCCAGGATAGCAGAGGCTACACAGAGAATCCCGGTCTTGAAAAAACAAAACGAAATTAGTTTGCAAGCTGGGTGTGGTGCACACACCTTTAATTCCAGCACTGGGATGCAGGGGCTGGTGGATCTCTGGGAGTTCAAGGTCAGCCTAGTCTACAGAGTGAGTTCCAGGACAGCCAGGGCTACATATAGACCCTGTCTTCAAACCACCAAAAGTTTGCACAAGTGGATTAGTTGTTTTGGTTTTTTTTTATTATCAAATTTTTTAAAATTTATTTTACAATACTATTCAGTTCTACATAATAGCCACAGATTTCCTTGTTCTCCCACTTCCTGCCCCCCTCCCCTTCCCCCCAGCCCACCCCCGATTCCCACCTCCTTCAGATCAAGGTCTCCCCCGAGGACTGGGATTGACCTGGTAGACTCAGTCCAGGCAGGTCCAGTCCCCTCCTCCCAGATTGAGCCAAGCGTCCCTGCATAAGTCCCAGGTTTCAAACAGCTAACTCATGCAACGAGCCCAGGACCTGGTACCACTGCCTAGATGCCTCCCAAACAGCACACCTGAAAGCTCTAGAACAAGAAGAAGCAAAGTCTCCCAGGAAGAATAGACGCCAGGAAATTATCAAAGTGAGAGGTGAAATTAATAAATTAGAAACTAAGAGAATAATACAAAAAATTAATGAAACAAAGAGTTGGTTCTTTGAGAAAATCAACAAGATAGACAAGCCCTTATCCAAACTAACCAAAAGACAGAGAGAATCCAAATCAACAAAATCAGAAATGAAAAGGGGGACATAACAACAGACATAATTTTTTTTTAAGATTTATTTATTATGTATGTGAGCTCTCTGTCTTCCTATATGTCAGCATGACAGAAGAGGGCATTAGGTCCCATTGTAGATGGTTGTGAGCAGCCACCATGTGGATGCTGGGAATTGACCTCAGGACTTCTAGAAGAGCAGCCAGTGCTCTTTACTGCTGAGCCATCTCTCCAGTCCAAGGGTTAAGTGTTTTATAGACAAAGAAAAACTATATCAGACTCGTCTGTAGTCATCATCATCTTCCTCTTCATTCTTCTTGGCGCTCATCCTCATCTCATCTTATCCTCCTGGTCTTTTTTTCTTTTTCCAGCCTTGCTGGCGCCCTTTTCAAGCTGCCTTGGCCCTTCATTGGCTCTTCGTCTACCGTCTATTTTCTTTGTTTTCCCGGAGTTCGTCAGCTGATGAAGCTCTTTGTCATCACAGCAGATCACAGCCGTGTTCTTCCCCATCTCCCCAGTTTCTTGGGAACACAGCTGACCCACATCTCCCCAGTTTCTTGGGAACACAGCTGACGGGAAGGTCGGGATGCTCTCCCTTGGTTCTGGGACCATAGTCCAAACAAGGCAAAGGAAGGGCCCAAGGAGCCTCCACTAGTTACTTGGCATTACTGTGGCAAAACAGCTGGCCAAAGCCGCTAAGGCAGGAAGGATTTATGTTGGCTCGCAGCCTTGGAGACGCAGACTCATTGCAGCAGAGGTGTGGAGAAGCAGAACAGCTCACATCATGGTGGCCAGGAACCAGAAGAAAGAGAACATAAGAAGGACCCGGGACAAGCCAGGGACCTAACTTCTGGGTTCCCTCTCCTTGGAACATCTTCCAGTTACGTCGTAACACCAAGACTCCATCATTTGGTCACATGAGCCATTCATTTGGCTCATCTGGTCGGAACCTCCCTGACCTAATCATCTCTGAAAATGTCCTCAAGTGACACCCCCATAGGTACACTCTACTGATCTCTTCTTAGCTATTTCTCGAGCCAATCAAGTTGACCGTTAAGATTAAGCATCACAGAACTGGAAGGATGGCTCAGTGGTTAAGAACACTTAGCTGCCTTTCCAGAGGACCCAGGTTCAGTTCCCAGCACCCCCATGTCAACTTACAGCTGTCTGTGACTTCAGTTCTTGGGGGTTCAGCGCCCTCTTTGGGTCTCTGAGAGCGCCAGGCATGCACATGGCGCGCAGACATGTATGCAGGTGAAACAAACACCCATACTCGTGAAATTTAAAAAGTAATTAAAACAACAAAATTAACCATTATAAGCTCCTCTGGGTGTGGTGGGGAGCCTGTAGCTCAGCGGTTCTCAACTCATGGGTCGCAACCCCTTTGGGGGTCGAATGACCCTTTCACAAGGGTCGCCTAAGACCATCTGCACATCAGGTATCTGCACTACAATTTATAACAGTAGTGAAATTACAGTTACGAAGTAGCAACGGAAATAACTTTATGGTTGGGGGTCACCTCACACCAGGGACTGTATAAAAGTGTCGGCAGCGTTAGTAAGACCGAGAACCGCCGCTGAGGAGAACTTGGTTGTGTGACCTGCTGGTGCTTGTCAGACCCCACATGGCCTGGGCGGTCGCTGAACTCTTGCCTTGGCCTCCTGAGTTCGTCTGGCATGAACTTCATTTCTGTTTCCTCTTGAGGAGGAATCTAGGTTTTCGTTCCTCTTTCATAATGGGCCTTTCCGTCTTGGCCATGCCTTCAAATTTTCCATCTATAGCTTTATATACTTAGAAATTCCAAGAAGCAGAACAGAGCCCCTGGCACCAGACCCTGGGCCTCCTGCCAAGTCTGGAAACAGTGCTGGGGTGACTTTTTGTTATGGATGGCGGTGGCCACGCCATCTGTCTCCAGCCTCGTCTCTCCTGGCCTGTTCGCATTTCCCAAATGTAGCACAAAGTCCCTTGTGCTTCCTAAGTTTTGCACATGCCACCTTCTCCATGCAGTGCTTCCTCTAACAAACACCTCTCTCTTCCATGCCTTTCTCCTGATTAATATTAAGCAGGTCTCATCTTAAAAATTCGTTTCCTCAGGGAGGCTTTCCTCACTCCAGGTGTGTGTGCTGTGACTTAAAAGCATCATCAGGCCTGGACTACCAAGTGAGTCCCAGGAGAGGCGCAAAGCTACACAGAGAAACCCTGTCTCGAAAAACAAAAAAACAAACAAAAAGCATCATCAGAATGTAGAGTGCTGAGCAAATCTATATTTAGTGTTTGTCTCTCCAAATAAGAGGACTCTCTGATCTTCCCACTGTTCTATACCTGCACTGTGGTGGTATTGTGTTCCCCAAAATATTGTGCACGCTAATAAACTTATCTGGGGTCAGAGAACAGGACAGCCACAATATTAAACAGAGGTTAGGCAGTGGTAGCACACACCTTTAATCCTAGCATTCCAGAGGCAGAAATCCCTCTGGATCTCTGAGTTCAAGGCCACATTGGAAACAGCCAGGCACGGTGACACATGACACTTTAATCCCAAGAAGTGAGCCTTTAATCCCAGGGAGTGATGGCAGAAAACAGAAAGATATATAAGGCGTGAGGACCAGAAACTAGAAGCATTTGGCTGGTTAAGCTTTTAGGCTTTGAGCAGTACAGTTCAGATGAGACCCATTCTGGATGAGGACTCAGAGGCTTCCAGTCTGAGGAAACAGGATCAGCTGAGGAATTGGCAAAGTGAGGAAGCTGTGGCTTGTTCTGTCTCTGATCTTCCAGCA